AGAATCTAAATCAGTTTTCATAAACAAAAACTTTGAGTGCAATGAGAAATTTTATTACATGATCAGGAATTTTTTATGTTCTTTGATTGGTCTAAAAATAGAATTTAATACTATTTGAGGGCTGAGGCCCAGGGGCCACATCGCTCACCTGAGTACCATGGCTAGGAAAAAAGCAAAAATCAGTTTAGTATTAAAAAGCTTAAATGCATGAGTCATTGAGTGGTACAGACCTACTTCTAAAGGGCAAAAGGGAGTAAGAAGGAGGGGGTACAATTTGAACAACTTGAATCTAAACAATCTGGGAATGCTTCCAAATAGAATGACAAACAATGGCTTTGCTGTTCTTTAGATAAAGATTTTTAAAGATTTTTTTTCTATATATTCCTATGTTAAACTTTGATAGTCCATTGTGGCCCCACCCCTCCCCAGGGGGTCATATTTCGAACAAACTTGAATCTACACCACCTGAGGATGCTTCCATATAAATATGACTAATCATGGCTTTGCTGTTCTTGAGAAAAAGATTTTTCATATACAGTGAAACCTGTCTAATCCGACATGCACTGGGAGACAAGTTTTGTGTCGGGATAGACAGGGTGTCGGATTGCATAGTGTTAAAAACAATGAAATTACTAAAATGGGAAAGAAATTTAACGTACAAATTCGCAGTATGTCAGATTATCAGGTGTCAGATTAGACAGTTTTCACTGTATATTCCTATGTAAAACTTTGATCGGCCATTGTGGTCTTGCCCAACCCCAGAGGTCATGATTTGAACAAGTTTGAATTTGCACTACCTGAGGATGCATCCACATGAGTTTCATCTTTCCTGGCCCAGCGTTCTTAAGAAGAAGATTTTTAAAAGATATGCGATTAATTTTTCAATAATTCATAACTATCTCCGTTTGGAAGAGGGCATGGCCCTTCATTTGAACAAAGTTGAATCCCCTCCACCCAAGGATACTTTTTGGCAAGTTTGGTTGAAATTGGCCCAGTGGTTCTTGAGAAGAAGATGAAAATGTGAAAAGTTAACTACAATGACGACAGACAACAGACAAATTTTGATCAGAAAAGCTCACCTGAGCCTTCAGCTCAGGTGAGCTGAAAACAATTTGATTAACTTTTTAAAATTTGAGAGAAAGGAATGAAAAATGAAACTGGGGGAAAATTGTCTTAAATACGTTGGCATATTGTAGAGCCTACTAGAGGGCCCTGGTGACAGAGTTTGGATTCATTTGACAAAATGACACTGGTGTGATACATGTTCTATTTAGTGTTGTTATATACAGCTGATATCAGCCCAGTAACGGCACTCTTTATTAACATGATTTACATCACTAAAAACAATGTTCAAGTTTATTACCATGTGTAGCAAAAGTAACATATTTAGTACAATAAATCACAGGGATCGTACCTGGTCATTTGCAGGGTTTGGGCTGTTCAACATTAAATGGTTGGAAATAATTGGAATAATTTTAGTGGACTGCAGAAATATACAAATATGTTTTAACCTTATCTAGGTAAATTAAAATCAACAGTAAATCACTATAAAAATCAGAGGCAAGCAACAATTAAATGGGGAGTTCTGATGACTAACCTAATACTTAAATAATTAAAATGCCCAGTTGCCCTTGGACTACCGCATATACTGTAGGATGCCTTATTCAGGATGGACAGTAGATGTGATAGCCCTTCAACAACTACACTACATGCCTATTTCAGGGTTCTCATTAAGTGCCGGCGACCGGTGATTTCGCCGCCTACTTATACACTGGCGCCGGTTATTTCACTTTTGAAAATCAGTAAAGAAAATCTGTGCTTCAGAAGAGAATTTTGGTCATCCCGTTTGTCTTGTTCGTGTAGTGAATAAAAAACGTAAACATATAAAAATCGTTGTTATTTGATGCTTTCCTTGTAAAATTAGGACCTCCTACTTTTAAAAACGTGGCGATGATACAGGAATGGCGATTGAAACACGGGTGATAACTTGAACTCAGTGCATCCTAGCTATGACATCACAGCCTACTCCACTGCGTTACGATATCCGGTGAAGCATGAAGCGGTTCGAGGAGTTATGTACTAAGGCTAAGTGCATCCACAAAGATTCCAGAGAGTTCCGAAAGCAATCATGGTGTGTCAGAAAAAAAACATTGAGAATATTAGTTGAACTAGAAAACTGACCAGTCAGCAAGGGCCCCGCCATGGGGTAGAATTATAAGGGTGCAGCTTATGGAATGATTCAAAAATATATGACAAATAAGAAACAGCAACTGTATTCTTAAAATTTCATGATAATTCCTGAATATCCAAAAACTTGTTAATAATATCCTTGTATTTACATAAGGCAGTAAAGAACAACTCAAAATGTATATCTAAACAATAATGAAGGCAGCTTGTGTTATATAAAATGCCAGCCTTCCAATGAATGCAAATACATATCATGAAGGCTTGACCTTAACTTCAAAACAAACAGTAGTTGCAGACAAAGGTTTTCATTAATCTTAAAGTGACAGATAAAGATAAGCCTTCTAAATTTTCTGCAGCAGACTAGATAATTAATCCCAAGGGATTAATTGTACTTCTCTCTCATCATTTTCTTCTGAAGTTATAATAAGAACTTTTTCAGTAATGATAGAATGAGGTTTTTATCCTACTACCTCAAAAATCAATAATATTCTTGAATTTACATGAAGCAAGAAAAAAATAAATAAAAATAAAAAAATATATATCTTCTTTAATCTATTTCTTGCTTTAAGAATTCAATGAACTCATTGTGTAGGGTATTTCAACAAAAATTTTAAAAGTAAAAACATTTATCATGTTTATACTTCAATCCACTTAAATGGACTTAACTTCAAAACAAACTTCATTTGTAGACAGAGATGGTAATTAATCTCAATGTGAAAGATAAAGATAATGCTTTGGATTTTCTTCAGGAGGAAAGCTAATTACTCCCAAGGGACTCATTCATTGCAGTATTCAGTTTACAATGGGAACATTTTCAGAAGTTATCTCTCTTTGCCAATTCATTCTTATATAAAGTTAAGGAATCTACCCCACCACCCCAGCTCCAAACCAGAGGACATAGAGAAACAAACTTAGCATCAAAATATGTCTTTTTGCCTACTGAACTACCATACCAAATCTGAACTTAATTGGACTACCATAAAAAAAGTTATTAAGAAAAAACAGAAAATTTGTGGACGGAAGAATGACAGACGGAGAGACAGACGGATAGATAGACAGACAGACAGAGTGATTACTATAGGGCACCCGCAAATCCTTGTGGGGCCCTAATTATTGTCTTTATTTGGATTAAAATTTAGGTTTAAAGGCATATGCAACCTCAAAAAAATTTGTTTTAATCAATTTTGAGGTTATTTCCAGTGCAAATCCCTTTGTATACTTAAAATTCGTTTCGGAATGATTCTGTGGTGAGGCCTTGTCCTGACAGAGACACAGTAAGATTATTCTAACTATCGATAGAAATACAGGCGCATCACTAATTTCTGACAAAGAATTGTAAGGGTGACTTTCTGTATGGATTTCAATGATACTTGCATATTTTTTTATAATTGTGAAAATACAGCGTACATATATCTAGTTAATAAGCTGCAGACACTCAGACTCTTTAGTATCCCATACATCTAAACAATGTAAAGCGTTTTCAATCAAATAACTGCTACAAAAAGCAACATTTTTAAAACAAAAATCTTTATTCATAGTATACATGATATATTACAAAAATCAAGGAAGTTTTATAGATCATCATAGGCTGTGTGCTTCTCCTGTGATTTTTTATTTTTTTTTTAGCAAAATGGGCTTCTCAAAAGTGTCATATTGAGAACAAATGAAACAAGTCAAAATATACCCAGATAGGTCCCAGAAGCCACCTCCTGCAATGTAAGAATTAAAAAATTTTCCAGGGGAGGACCCCCGGACCACCCACTTGACGAAAGGGGGGAAACCCCCCTCTCGGACTCACCCCTCTCGGTTCGGGCCTTCTGCCCTCAAGTCTGAAGTGCCCCCTACTTCTTCTTTTTCTCCACCTACTGTAAAAATTAATGAGAACCCTGCTATTTATAAGATTACCAGGACGGACAATGAGTATACCAGCCTGGACAGACTAATCAGCCAATGAAGACAAGACACAACAAACTATGACTGGCCTCTATATTGGAGGTCATCCTAGTTTGTGGCAGGCCTTAAATGGGTTGTCCTTCCAAATTCACTCTCTAACTGAAAACAGGCGAGGAATATAACAAGCGAACTTCAAGTCTTACTTCACAACACTCGTCTCCTATCCTTGGCTGCATCTGACGAACTACCACTGATCACTGCGGAATCTCCTTATTTATACACAATAAATGTCACAAGATGTGAACATTGACTAACTAGGAACACAGTATGGTCAAACCTTAGAATCCTGAAATCATTACATAACGATAAATAAAACAGAATATAATTTAAAGAGAAATGTGAGGTGTTTTCCAGTAATGGTGACATTGTTTGGGTAGTCGTCCAGTCATGGATACGTAGATAGAACGTTCTATCGTTAAAATGATATTGTCCTACGGACCCGGTTTAACGATAGAATTTGTTCCGTGTATTCGTAATGTAGCAAAAGAAACATAACTCGTACTCACTATAACTCAGTGCATTTACTACAAACAAACTAGAGAGTTCTGAATGTAAACATGGCAGGTAAATTTGAAGCGAGAGAAAATTAATTGGATTTTCATCTTCAGATGGATTATTTTCTGGGATAAAAGGCATATATAATCTCAAAAAGGTTTGTTTTGATTAATTTGTTTGTTATTTCCAGTGCAAATCCTTCCATATTCTTCAAAATCATTTCGGAGCGGATCCGCTCCGATTTGCTACATTGCAAGTATATGGGACGTATTCTATCTGTGGTGAGGGCTTGTACCGAGACACAGTTAGATTATTCTAACTAATGGATACGCATCAACTTAAAAAAGCAAAATAAAAATGCTTACCCTGAAGAGCTGTTTCTGTTATGTTCTTTGCAAAGTATATCAATAAGCACATATCTTTTGTAAATTTGTCTTCAGTACACACTTCCTCGCACTCCTTGTTCTTGAAACTGGATGATAGTAACCCATTACAGTATTTCTTAATTTCTGTAGCATTTGATTTCTTCAAAGTACTTATAATAAGTTCTTTCTCATAAACCTTTTTCTTGCAAGTATTATTGTTTAAACTCTTTACAAATTTATCACAAAGTGGAATTCTTTCCTCTTCGCTTTTTAGATTATTGACACATTTTTTTAAACTTTGTTGATCATCTGCAGGTACTTCAAAATATAAATCAACTGGCGGAAAATGACACAAATTTGACATCCATTCTTTCTTTAGATCAGAAGGAATATTAGCTGGCGCTGGACTTACGAAAGACACCAGTGTTATCATTAGTTGTACACAAGTCAATAACTTCGTAAATTTGTTCCTCATGATTATGGCAGTCATCGTGGAACATTTGGTGTATATTTAATGCCTATTTAAATTCCTGTAA